CCAGCCTGCTCCCCATCAGCCTAAGCCAGTGAGGAGCCAGAGGGAGCCAGGAAGCCCACTGACCTAGCCCTATGTGCAGCCCGCTGGTCCATGGCACAGGGTGGAGAAGGGTGGAGGACAAATCTGGACGGGCAGATGGAGATTCCAGCACAGCACCTGGCACAGAGTAGGTGACCACTATTTTTAAAGTAGTCTCACTTTAAATAACGGAATAGTTAATGCATAGGGAATACCCATTGTCCCTACCATCCATATTTAGCAGCAGTTAACATTTTGCTAGGTTTACCACATATTTCTTTAAGTGATAATACTACAGATGGAGGGAAGGCCCCTTACCCCCATCCTGCCTCATTTCCCTTTCCTCCCTACAGGTAACTGCTGTGCTGATTTGCATTATTCTTGTGCAGGTTTTGCGTTTTACTGCATACTTATGTGTAAACATATATACTGTTGTTTTGTGTGTTTTAAAAATTTGACCTAAGTGGCATAATGCCATAAACATTATTTTACAACTTACTCTCTCTACTTAACATAAGTTTTGGGGTTTGTTTGTTTGTTTGTTTTTTGAGACAGGGTCTCACTCAGTTGCCCAGGCTGGAGTGCAGTGGCATGTTATCAGCTCACTTCAACCTCCACCTCCTGGGTTCAAGCAGTCCTCCCACCTCAGCCTCCTGAGTAGCTGGGACTGCAGGTGCACACCACCATACTGGGCTAGGTTTTGTATTTTTTTTTTTAGAGATGGGATTTCACTATATTGCCCAAGCTGAAACTTAAGTTTTTACGATTTATCTATATTGATACCTGTAGATGCAGTTTTGTCTTCTCTTTGTAAAATTTGTTGATTAAATAAACCACAGCTCATGTATCTATTTCCCTACTGATGGGCATGTAGCTTGTTTCAGCTTTTTTGCAATGACACACAATGCCACCTTGAGCATCCTCGTATATGTGGCTCCCCGTGTATATATGCAAGAGTTTCTCTAGAGTAAAAACCTAAATTAGAATCACCAGGTATAAAAGGCGGGGAATCTTCCTTTATTCAGCATTGCTCATTGCTTTCCAAATATTTTACCTACATGTAAGCCCCAAGCTAGAGTTCCTGTTCCTCCACCTCTGCCAATGCAATACATTGTCAAGCTAAATTTTTTATTGTTTTTTACCATCTGTTGGAATACATAGATATCTCCTTTTGCTCTCATTTGCATTTCCATTATTACTAGTGGGGTTAAGCGTCTTTCCTTATTGTTACTGGCCATTTGGAGATTCTGTTCCTTGGATTTGCCTTTCATATCTTTTGCTTGTTCTCTCTGTGTGGTTTGCCCTTTCTTAAAGATATTTGAAGTTCTCTGTATATCTGAAAGCTAATCCTGTGTTGGTTTAGGGGTGACACATACCTTCTCCCACACTATGACTCACCTTTTAACACTGATTTTGATGTCATTTTTGGTTGGTTGTTTTGGTACAGACATTTAAATGTTGTCAAATTTATTCACCTTTTCCTTTAGGATTTGTGTTTTTTCTTTCTTCCCTTTCTGCAAGATTATAATGATTGTCTCCTATTTTTTTCCCCGTAGTTTTGCGTTTCACATTTGTCACATTAATCCACTTGCTTAACATAAGGCAGGACTCTAATTTTGTCTTTTTCCACATGAAACCCAGTGGTTTTGCCCCCATCCTGAAAAGTTCCTCCTTTCCCCACTGACTGGTAATGCCACCACCATCAGGAAGCAGGTCGGGCTCTCAGTTTGTAGTCACTGAACTGTGTCTGCATCCATGCCTAGTACCACACTGTTTAAATACTACTGCTTTAGGTTTTGTTCTGCCATCCAGTAGGGCAAGTCTTGCACTGTTTTTCTTCAGAATAGTCTTGGCTACTTTATTCCTTTTCTTTTGCATGAGGATTTTTTTTTTTTTCTTTGAGATGGAGTCTCACTCTGTTACCCAGGCTGGAGTGCAGTGGTGTGATATGGGCTCACTGCAATCTCCGCCTCCCGGGTTCACGCTATTCTCCTACCTCAGCCTCCCAAGTAGCTGGGACTACACGCGCCCACCACCATGCCCGGCTAATTTTTTTATTTCTAGTAGAGACAGAGTTTCACCATGTTAGCCAGGATGGTCTTGATCTCCTGACCTCATGATCTGCCCATCTTGGCCTCCCAAAGTGTTGGGATTACAGGCATGAGCCACTGTGCCTGGCCTCCATTGGGATTTTAAGATTGGCTTAAATGGCCAGGTCAGGAAGAACTTTGAACACCATGTCATGGATGGTTTCAAGCAAGGCGGTGACATGGTCAGCTTCACGTTTTTCAAATACTTGTGAAGCTGTGCTTGGGTTAGATTTTAGAAGATCAGACTGGAGGCAGGAAGACAATAAAATGTGGGGGCCCAGACCAGTCAGTGACAAGAGAAGTGGGCAGGGAGGGGCTGTGCAGAGTCTGGAGGCCCTGGTGCCTGTGCAGCAAGTGAGGAGGGAAGGGAGGAGAGAAGAGGCACGTTGCCGTGTGGGAGGAGCCGAGGGCGGGCTCCCATCCCAGGCCAGGCGACTGGGTAACGCACAATGCCTCCAGCCGAGGCTGGAAACAGAAGGAGTTGCAGGCTCAGCCTCAGCTGTTCTGCACTTGGTGCATCTTAAGAAAGGGCAGATGGAGGGATAGTGCCAAGAGGTGGATATATGGGTCTCAGGCTCAGAAAAGAGGACTGGGCCAGGCCTGGTGGCACCGTCCTGTGGTCCCAGCTACTCAGGAGGCTGAGGTGAGAGGGTTGCTTGAGCCGGTGAGCCGGGGAGGTTGAGGCTGCGGTGAGCCGTCATAACGTTACTGCACTCCAATCTGGGTGACAGGGCCAAACCCCCTCTCAAAAAAAAAAAAAAAAAGAAGAAGAAGAAGAAAAGAGGACTGTAGTCAAGATTTAAGAGTCATCAGCTATCCAATCAAATAAAAAACAGGAGCTGAAGAGGGAAGCCTGTGTAGACAACTCCAGCATGAAGGGTGTTAGAGGAGGAGGAGGAGCTCATAGAGGAGGTGGTGACAGAGACTGAAGAGGCACAGGGAGAAGCAGGAGAGTGTGGCATAGCGCCTGCCAAGGAAGGAGGGCATGTTGAGAAGGAGTGACCCCGAGCACCAGGTACCAAGGGCTCTAGGAGATGCTGACAAGCCTTCATTGGTTTGGCAAGAAGGAGGTCAGTGGACGTGTCATTAGGTACAGAAGTCAGAGCTGAGTGACTGGAGGAGCACAGAGCTCCATTTGCTGGGAAAAGACCCAGTGAAGGACCTTGGCTCACAGAAAAAGAGAGACTAGAGCTTGCCTATAGGCTGGGGGAAGGAGTCAGAGAGAGAAGGGGAAAGTGAGGCAGTGAATTCTCAGAGGAGATGGGTAGGACCTGAGAGAAGAGTTGGGCCCCGGCCTGGCAGGAAGGCCAGTGTGAATGGAGGTGTGCGTGGCCACTGCAAGGGTGGCTGTGAGAGAGGTCCCACCTGACAACCAGTGTTGTCACTGAAGTAAAGAGTGGCAGCATTGGAAAGGTTTGGGGTCTTGGAGTTGCCTGGGGGCACTAAGGAAAGAAGTGACATTTTGGAATGTTATTGAGAATAAGAAAATCGGCTAAGGCCTAATAAAGGGATTGATGGGGGCAGATGAAGGAGAAGGTGCCTGTGCAGAGTGGGGTTGGGAAGGAGAAGGGACGGCAGAGGAGGCAATTCATGGGAAGTGAGCACTCAGCTGGCAGCAAGCACCCCTGGTGCCTGGCCCAGATAGCCAGAGCTAGGCGAGCCTTTGGAGTCACCTCCCTTAAAGACCTCCCTTCGCAAGCCAGACAAACTAAAGAGTGCCACGGTGGCCAGGGTCACGTTCCTCCAGACATAGCTGAAGATGTGGCCAGCATGAAGGATTCGGCCTCAGTCTCTGTGTATTGAGTGCAGTGAGGTTTGCACCCCTAACTCCCTGGCTCTGGTGACCTGTTAGCCCCATGACTGGGTTGAGAAGGACATGGTAATAATTACCATAATAAATTAAGTGTGAGGCCTAAAAACTATGAAAGTCTGCGAACATTACCTCATGGACTTCTTCTGATCACCTGCAAGGTGAGTTGAATCATTCCCACTTTTCAGATGAGGAAACTGAGACTCAAGGAATAAGTTCAGTAACCTATCCATGGTCCCAGGTAGCACATGAAAGACCTAAGATCTGAACCCTATCTGTCTAGCTGTGCTCTTGCCCCTTTGTTTTTAATGAGTACACAGAGACCAGAAAGTGGCTGTATAAGAGCTCAGGGGTAAGGGAATGGACTTGGTGTTAGAAGACACACTTTTTTTTTTTTTTTTTTTTGAGACGGAGTCTCACTCTGTCGCCCAGGCTGGAGTGCAGTGGCACAATCTTGGCTCACTGCAACCTCCACCTCCCGGGTTCAAGTGATTCTTCTGCCTCAGCCTCCCGTGTAGCTGGGATTACAGGTGTGTGCCACCAAACCTGGCTGATGTTTGTATTTTTAGTAGAGACGAGGTTTCACCATGTTGGCCAGGCTGGTTTCGAACACCTGACCTCAGGTGGTCTGCCTGCCTTGGCCTCCCAAATTGCTGGGATTGCAGGCATGAGCCACCACACCCGGCCTAGAAGACACACTTTGAAGTCTCACCTCTGTTCACCAGCTGGGTGTCCTTGGATAAGTCATGCCATGGGGAAGCAGGGCCAAGACTAGGCTGCTTATCCCCATGTCCATCCATGGTGCCCTCCCTTTGGCCAGGGGGTGCCATGCACAGCAGGACGTTGACCATCCTGAGAGTTGGTTGTCAGCCTTGGGAGTCAATTACTGTATGGAGAGTGAAGGATCGATATCTAATGAGTAAGAAGCTACAGGGCTCCTATGAACCTTGCCCCATCTGTGACGGCTGGGCCAGTTGCCGTACTCCAAACCCGGGGACCGCCTCCACACCCCAACCCAGCCTGCGCAGCCCCTCACCCTCCCATCATAACCCCTGTTGTTGCTCTCTCTGCTCTGTTTGCAGGTCCCTCTGCTGGCTCTGGTACTGCGAGGTTCAGCCGGAGGCCCACCTGTCCTGATACGTCTGTTGCTGGCAGCCTCCCCACACCTCCAGTCCCCAGACACAGGAAGAGCCACAGCTTAGGCAACAAGTGGGTGACTGAGCAAGCCCTCCCTCCGGGCTTCAGACCGTCCTGCACGTGGGCCTGGGCACAGTGCAGGGAAACACTTGCTGACTGGGTCCCTCCCCTGCCCTGTTCTGGGAGTTGCTGATGAGAGCCCTTGGAATCCTGGCCAGTGCACTTTCCTGAGGCTGGTGTGAGCTTGGGAAGAGCTGAGGGGCACTGTGGCAGCGCTGACTCCACACCGCTGACAGGTGTCTCAGGCTCAGCAGCTGATGGAGGAAGGGTGCAGGGAAGGGCAGGGAAGTAGCAGTGACATTCCAGAGAATTTGCCCAAGCCCAGTTAATGACTCATGGAAAAACCCCAAAGTCCAGTGGACACCAGTGATTGTCATCCAGGGCGGTGTTCAGTTTCTCATGGCATCTGCCTACAGAGCATTGAACCTGCTGGCTCATCAGCCCTGTGGGGCCCAATAGCTGGGGGACATGCGTGAGTCCTCGGGCATGGCTGGGGCAACTGTGCCTGTGTCTCCAGGGCATTAGGCAGAGGCTTCCGAACAGATGAGTCCCTTCCTTCCTTCCTTTCTTCCTTCCTTTCCTCCCTTCTTCCCTCCCTCCCTCCCTTCCTCCTTCCTTCCTCCTTCCTTCCTTTCCTCCCTTCTTCCCTCCCTCCCTCCTTTCCTCCTTCCCTACCTACCTATCTACCTACCTACCTACCTACCTACCTACCACTTCCAAGGCACAAGCCTCAGCCCAGCCCAGGCAGGCCCTGGAGGAGCTCCAAGGCTGGAGGAGAAAGAGTTGCTCTCTGAGTGTTAAGCAGCCCTCTGTGCTAGACACTCTGCACATGCCTGTCAAGCATGATCTCCCTGAGTCCCCATGCAGGCCTCTGAGGTGGGTGCTATTATTACATACTTTGAGAACGAGTCTAATGAGGTTCAACAAGGTGAAATTCCTTGCAATGGTGGAAAAACATCGGAGCAAGGGCCTGGACCAGGTGCGTGTGACTCCAGGAGCAGACATCCTGGCCACAGGCCCACTGCCACTCACCTGTGCGGCCTCATCACTCAGAAGCAGCATCTGCTCACTCGAGCCTCATAGCCACCCGGGAGACAGGCAGGGCAAGTATCGTTATCTCCATTGGATGGATGGAGAAACTGAGGCTCAGAGAAAGGATGTGACTTGCCCAAGGTCATGGCATGAGAGAGGACAGAGCCTGGGCTACACCATGGCTCTGGGTGGAGGCCTTTTTCCTGCAGCTGCACCATCTGCTCTGGCCCCCAGGCAGGTGTAACCACTGTCACTCCATAGATAAGGAGCTTTGCCTTCTTTCTTCCTTTCCGTTTTCCAGTATGATGTGTCAGTTGAGTGTAGTTGAGAGTAAAAGTGCGACATTCCCATCGGAGAAAGCAAGGCACCTACTGGACGACAGTGTCCTAGAGTCCCGCAGCCCCCGAAGGGGCCTGGCCCTGACCTCCTCCTCTGCTGTCACCAATGGACTCTCCCTAGGTAAGCGTCTCCGGCCTGCACATGATAGGCTGGTGGGCTGTAGGCCCAGTGTGTGCTCCGTGTCTGTCTCTGTGTCACTGTGCCATGCCCAGTGGCGCTATCATTCTGGGGGACCCAGTGGCCCCTCACCTCCCTACAGAGGTGGCTGCCTGCAGGAACCACCCAGAGCCAGGGAAACCCTTGTCTCCTAGCCTCGTGGGCTTCATGAAGAGCCCTGGATCTGTCGTCATCCTGCTGGTGGCATGGCAGGCAGGTAGAAAAAGCAGCCAAACCCTTTCCTGAGACCAGCTGCTATTGGCTGGCAACTCCCTAGACCAGACTGGACCACAGTCAGGCTTCTGTCCCTAAGGGATCATGACCCACAGGGCCCTGCAGGGCAAAGCAGGAGAGGCTGCCAGGGAGGGTAGCTGGGTGGCTACAGGGTTCTCACTGCGTACTTGTCTTCACAATGGGAGCTAGAAGGAGGGAGGATGAAAAGCTGATGTTCAGGGATGAAATTGCATCACTGAGTGTCAGCCAGACATGGTGCTATGGCAACAGAAGAGACAGAAATTGTGCTGCTGAGGCTGGGATAGGAAGAACTTGACATTAGGACTCAGGCTGGTGTTGAGCTCTGGTTGTAGGTCCATACCCCTGCAGTGTCCAGGTCAGCTGAGACAGGTGGGCACCACCCTGTTAATACTGCCATCAGGCCAGTGCTCTCTCTGGTGCCTGGTGCCTTTCAGTGTGTCTATGCCTTTGTGGTCTGTGTGTCTGTGTGTCTGTCGGCTTCCCTTAGCAGGGAGTCCTCCCACAGCTGGTGGTTAGACCAGTTGCCAAGCTGGGAGTTGATTTTGTGAGGACTGCAGGGCAGAGGGCCCAGGGCAGGGGGCGGGAGGGGACAGGAGAAACAGGCAGGAATCACTCCCACGTCCCTGTGAAAGCAAGTCAGTCTCAGAGGGCGTGGGCAATATGAGTCCAGGGGTCGCCGTCTCCCACGCCCTGGAATTCTGACAAGCATGTTCTGTGTCTGCCTCTGTCCTCAGAGGAGGTCATCCTGTTTGGAGCCAATCAGGGTGATACGACGGCTCAGGACAATGTGTCCAGGGTTCTGAGGTGCGCCTTGGGAGAAGAGTTCCAGGTCATGCGTGGGGAAAGGCTGGGCTGAGCAAAGGTGTGCAGATTTCTTCCCAGAGATGCGGCTGTGCTGGTGGGTGGGAGGAGTCCTCTAAGAAGGCATCAGAGTCCACAGTGTCCACATTCTTTGGTCATGGGACCCTCTTCCTTGGAATGGGACTGGGTTCTGAGGAATGCCCTCTGGGGAATGCCGGCCCAACAGCACTCAGCAGAACAGCTGTTTTATGCCCAGAAAACTTTCTGAGCTGTGCCTGAGTCCAGGCCTTGCTCTTCCTGAGACAGAAAACGGAGTCAGATGCAGAGCTGTCCAGCGTCCAGACAGGAGATCACAAGGTTGTTTGGTTCCCGGCTCCTCAAGTTGGGGAATTGAAACTGGTTTTCTGTTTGGGGCCAAAAGCCCTGATTAAGTGGCCATGTGTGCATGTGCCCTGTTGGGGAGCTGGGCTGGTCCTCCCCTCTGTGATGAGGGCCATTACTCAGACAGATGCCAAGGGGCCTGGGATCCCCTCCCTCCTGCTTTCCCAGTGCTCGGCCTCGGTGCTCTTTCAGGCAAAGAGCACTGAACCTCAGAGCCTCTGAGGTCTGAGAGACAGTCCAGAAGCATTGCGCGTGGATGCTTGGGTGACAGGAGAAAATCTCTCCTTCAAGAGGGCTTAGAGAGCCTGGGAGAAGCAGAGTCACCCATTCAGCCCAGAGGGACAGGCCTGAAGGAGAAATAGGTAGCAAAACGGTGGGACCCAGCCCCTCTCTGTGACCCCACTGGCCAGGGGTTTGCAGGGGCTCTCCCTTGAGGCTTCTGTCTAATGCCAGGTACCTGCGCTGTGACCAGCGTCTAGTCAAGCCCTGACCCTTGTGGAAGAGGAAGAGGTGCTCATTTGGCCTCACCAGGTGAGGCCTGTTCTAGCCCTGGCTTCATGTGGGCCAGAAGGGAGGCAGTGGTGGAGCCAGGTCAGGCCCAGAAGACAGCCTGAAGACCCAGACCCCAGCGGGCCAGTGGGCAGTTAGCTGCGGCCCTCGGGGGCAGTGGGAAGGTAGTAGCGGACCTGCCTGGAACAGTGGGATGGGGTGGTTCTTTGACCCTCCCAGAGCAGAGTTAGAACAAGCAGCAGCAAAAACTCGAGTACATCGAGGCTCCCAATGTGAGGAAGCAGTTTCTGTGGCACTTCTGTGAGCTCAGGGGCCTGACCCGGGAGGACGGGCCCCTCTTCTGTGAGGCCGTTGTGCTCATTGACCTGTGTTCCTTTTCCAGGCAGTAGTGAGAGCTCAGAGTTTAGTGAAGAGATGTCTTCAGGGCTGGAAAGGTGAGTGTGGCCTCAGCATGGCCTCCCTCCCACGGGCGGTGCTCAGGGCCCAGGGAGCTGAAGACAGGCCCCGGGCAGGGACGGGCCCTGCCCCACCCACCCCATGCTGGCCTCGGTGAGGCTGCTCTGTGGCTCCTCCAGCAGCCTGGCCAGGGCAGGGCTGACTAGGAGGGAGGATGGAAGAGTAGGATGGGTGTCGGGGCCCCAGCCCCCATGCTTTGAGCAGCCCCACACCTCCTCTGATCCAGGAGTCTCTTCCTCCGGCACAGCTGCAGGAGGCCTGGGAGTAGATTTGGTCAAAAGTGTGGGTTCTTGAAACCGGAAGCCTAAGAAGTGGCCTGGTCTTGAGATGGGCATGTGGCTCCGCCTGGTGGGGTCTGAGAATATTGCAGCCTAATGGCCTCAGGCCTTGGGTATTTATTGACCCCCACCCTGCTAGGCACTGGTGACAGGGAAGTGGCCATAGCCTCTGCCTCCCTTGAGGATCCCTTGAGGATCCCAAGCTTCGGCTCCTGGGAGAGCCTGTCAGTCAGGGCCCCCGGCCTCCTGCTCAGGAATTCCCATCGCAGAGCTCCATGTACTGGTATTTTCCTGTGCCAGGAGCCAGGTGATCTCTAGGAAGGCAGGGGACACTGTGAAGGGGGTGCCCCCACAGCCATGGCACCACCAGGGGTGAAGGGCATCATGGCGACTCAGGGTCTGAGGGGAGGCTGGAAGCATCCAGTGACACAGAATGCCCAGGAAAGGCAGGTATGCACCAGTATCCAGGGCCCTGGACGTACACACACACATGCACATGCATACTCACATATACACGCCCTACACACTCACATATGCCCATGCACACACTGTACACTTGCACTCACCTATGCATGCAGTCTCACATACACAGGCACACGCTCACACATGAGCTTGTGTACACATTCACATAACCACACTGTCACACATGTACATATGCATGCATGCATGTACACTCACACATTTGTGTGCACACACATATACATGTGTGCATAAGCACTCACATGCACACACACGCACACACACTCCTCCTCTGGCACTGAAGCTTCTCTCCTCAGTCCCCATAATCATAAATTGAGCAGAGAGAAGATAAGTGCTGCCTAGCAACTCCTCCCAGGGCAGAGGGGCTGTCTGCTGCTCAGTGTTCTTGGTTGAGCATGGCCTGTGCCAAGCACTGTCCTGGTGCTTTGCGTGCGTGGATGTACCGAATCCTCAGCACTCCTGCACAACAGCCATTCGTAGTGTCTCCGTTTTATACATGTGGAAAACAAGGCTCAGAGAGGTAAAATGACTTACCTGCTCCACACTCTGGTGTGGACAAAGCTGAGCCACACCCAACAGCCTCCTGACCAGTGAGCCACCTCTTCATCACTGCTCCACAGCTTGGCCAGATACGGGGACTGCCCCATATTGGTCAGTCAGTCTGCCTGCCTGTGAAACCCAAGATGGGGGGTGGTGGGGGAGTGACGATATGCCAGCCCTCAGAGGCTCTCTCTTTTCCCTCCCCACCTATCGGGGTTGCTCAGGCAAATGGGCCAGTAGCCTTCACCCTGGGAGCCACCCCAGCAGTGGGGAGGAGAACCAGACAGGCACAAGGGCAGACTCCAGAACTCTCAGCACCAGTCAGGGGACTCCTGGGGACACCCTGAGGGAGATGGCTTTCAGGCAAGCCAGCACCTCCCCTGGCCTCAGGCCAATGAGAAGACATCAAATGGCAATCAGAGGCACAGATCCTGAATAGCAGCTAGACCTGGACCTGTTGTTCATTCATTCATTCATTCTTTCTTTCTTTCACTCACTCATTCCTTCATTCACTCACTTACTCATTCAGTAGCTATGAAGCAACTGCTCCCTGCCAGACACCACACTAGTTACTGAGGATGCAGTGGATATAGTTCCTGCTAAGTACTCATGACTGAGATCAGAGCTTCTAGGAAGGAGGATGGTGAGGGAGAATTCCTTGTCCCAGGGAGATGATGCTGTTTGCAATGCTGTCGTGATCACTATAGGCCACAGCATTTCATAGCATTTAGATCACTATCCATCTGAATGTCTAGAATAAGTGATTTGGGGATCTCTTCCAAGCACTGGTCTCATGGCTGGCGCAGATGCCCAGCTCTGCCTCCAGCAGCCTTGAAACAGCCCTGCAGGGAGGATGTCCTGTTTCTCATCCTCTGAGGATGACTTTTGGCCCAGCCCCACCTTGCTGAGGGGAGCAGGAGGCCACCTGCTTTGGAGGATGCCAGTGGGCCTGCGATGTCTCCTCTAGTCAAGACCCAGGCCCCGTGCAGTCCTGATGAGCAGATGCCAGCTGCCCCTTGGCCACCGACCTCCCTCTCCACCTGCACTGCCTCTTACATTCCCTGAAATAATCCACACTCGCAAAAGCACAGGAGCATTCTGGACCTTCCTGGAGAGTCCACGGGAGAGTTGGAGGGGAAGATTTACCTCTTGTAGCTTGAAAATCTTCATTGCCTGTGGCTCTTTTCTTTCAGTTACTCACCTCCATGCTCTTTCTTGGGTCTTCTCTCTTCCTGACCTTCATGGGCCCCATGCTTAGCTCCTCCAGGTCCTCCCTGCACTCCCAGCTCTCCCCCAGGCCAAATCTTCCTACTCTAATGGGGAGCAGACTCCCTCTTCCTCAGAAGACTGAGTGTCAGCCTGCCTGGGCGCAGAGGCCAGCACCTGCCCTGAAAGAGCCTCCCCTCCTTGGAAACCCCACCAGCTGTTCCCTGCAGATGCTGTAAGAACACAGCTTTCTCTGCAGGTCATACTGCTCGAGCAGACAGAGGCCATGGAGCCAGAGCCAAGGGTGCAGGGGAGGCCTGGGCCCCACTCAGAGAAATGAGGGCATGAGAGAGGAAAGGAAGAGGCTTGGCCATGGTGGGGGAGACAGCATTTCGCCCCACAGCTCTGAAGCTTCAACAGCTCTGTTGAAGATTGCCACCAGTGCCCTGCCCCTCAGCCCTGGTAATAAGTCTGCCCAAGCTAGGAAGAGAAATAGAGCCAGATACCAAGATGAAAGGCAAGGAGACCCCAGGTCAGTTTCTCCACATCACACACACCTCTGGTGGGTTGAGGGCACACCTTCATCACCAAGAATGCCGCTGTCAGCAGGCAGGCAGGAGTTTCTGTTGTCTGGCCAGGGGTGGGAGGGTGGGATCCTGCATGCCCGTCTGGTGAATTTGCCTTCTCTGAATTTACACGCATAGATGTCTCCTTTTTGGGTAGTAGCCAGAGTTCAGGCTGCGGATGCCCAGTGGGTCCCCAGAGTGTTCGGCCATAAAGAGCTTCCACACAGGAGCTGGAGCCCACTGAGGCCTGTGGAGCTGCTGTACTGCCCTCGGTGGGCATGGGCCTCTTCCTACTGGACTGTGGAACGAGGGTGCAAGAGCAAAGGGACCCTCTTCTACTCTTCATCCTCCTGTCTCCTCACCCATGTCAGCCTTGGCAAGGTCACAGGGCCTGTGGGGCCGGGGAGGGGCAGTGAGATGCAGGGAGGTGTTCGTTAGTCACTTCTGAGCCCCCAGGCTGCCTTAAAGACCCTCCCCTGCCCTCGGGGCCCAGCATGAGGACAGGAGGATGGTCCTGTGCCAGGGCCCTCAGGAACCAGAGAGCTACGGGCAGGGGTGGGCCTGCTCTTCTCTGTGACTCCACCTAGTGTCCCTGGTCAGCAGTCTTCCTCACCTCATGCTGGGGAAAGTAGGGGCAAGGAGAGAAGGGGGGCCCCCAGCACACTCCGCTTTCCCAGGGAGGCAGGGAGGTGGCCGCAGGACATTCAGTTACCTGGAGAGGAGGGTTGTGGGCTTGTCAGGACAATCTCCAGCCAACCTCAGGCCCCTCGGAAACCAGCACGGAAGGGAGCGTTTAGTCAGGAGCAGAAGTAACGGAGAACAGATGCCTTTTTCTGCCTGATTGGGAAAGCAAGTGTTGGCACTAAGATGAAAACAAGAATATCAGCCTACGAGTTAAAGGATTTTAAATGAGGTGTTTTTAAAAAAGGCGAACAAAATTGTAGTGGCGGTCATGTATGTATATATGAAAATAGAGTCTCACTCATCCTGAGTATTTCTGGGCTGTACGTTTATTAAGTGAGTTTGTTTTCCCTGTGTTCTTCAGATTTTCCACGATGGGTAAATGTTTCTTTTCTACCCAGAAAAACAATTAACATATAACTGTACAAAAGAAGACATAATCAGAAATGATTACTGATCAGTTTTTAACAAGTGAAATATGAAAGGGCCACAAAGTTGATGATGAAACCTTGGCCACCATCTCCCCTGGTCGGACTCGCCCGTCTCTGTAGAAGGGCCTTCTCGTGTGAGGCACAGGCTGTAATACAGGTAGTAGGAAGAGTAGGGGATGGGGGGTCCTCGGAAGGCCCAGGGTGAGAGGAGGCCCCTGTAGTGAGAGGGAAGTGAGGCTGGGGCAGGGTTGGGGGGCACAGTGCAAAACCCTCTGAACAAAGCCTGTTCCTCTTCCTGCTCTGGAGGAGGTGAGGGAACGGGTCAGAGCTCAGAGTCTTAAATAAGTCCTGTTAGGGAAGCGGTTGTGCAGGATCCAACAGGCGACCTGCATCAGGCACCAGGCTCAGAGGTGGCTTCTGGAGGAGGAGGGGATGGTTAAGCAGCAGCCCAGGACATTTAGTGAAGAGGACCCTAGAGTGCCCTCAAGGCGGGACCTGGGACCTGAAGAGGCTGCAGGCTGTGAATCATGCACCAGGCTGGGACAGATGGCCCCGGGCTTGGTGTCTGTAAGAGTCTCGTGCAGGAGAGCTGGGCCCCATGGCAGGTCCTGTTCTCTGGAGTTCTCAGTGGACCTCCACAGTGAAAGGCACAGCCAGCCTTGCAGGGGAACCTGAAGTTAGGACCACTGATCCTCCCAGGCCCTTGGGTAGCTCTCAGTATCTCTGAGCCTCCATTCCTCAGCCCTGTGATGAGGCTAGGCGCAGTAAAGATCTAGCATCTAGGTGGAGCTGCCGC